CACACACACACACACATCCACCCTAATGCTGTATGTAACTCGTTGTGCTGTCCTCCCGGGCTGTAACCCAGCCGTGTAATGAAGGCTATAAATCAGCACCTTGGACAGTGCTAGGCAGCCCTGAGCTTCTGGATATACGTAATACTGGAATCAGGCGAGAGAGGTGGGGGGAGCAGCTTTCAGCACCGGGGGAGAGCGGACAGTGACAGCCTCTGACATTCCTACTGTAAAAAGGCGAAAAGCCCTCCCTATCTGGAGCTGCCCTGCATAGTACTGATGACTAAACAGAGTTATTCAGGTTGTTGCACAGCTAGCTTAGCAGAGCTGTGATTCAGATAAAAGGGATGGGGGGGATGTGTGTGTGTGTTGTGTTGTGTTGTTGTGTGTGTGTGTTGTGGTTGTGTGTTTTGCGCGCGCGTGTGTGTGTGTGTGTGTGAATGAGGTCCTATCCTAGAGATGCTGCTACTCAGAGGAACAAAAAGAGAAAGGATAGGAGAGTGTGACAACAGGAGGAAGAACCAGAGAGAGATTTGAGAGATGTGTTTTGGGAGGAGGTGGTGGCAACTATCCCTCTTCGGAAGGGTCCCTAACAGGCCTGTGCACATACATTGCATAGTTTATATCTAATGCATTACCCCGGAAAGGATAAAAAGGACAACCTTGACAAATTTAAACTGTCCTTTGATTCTATATATAACAGGAATGGTTGAAGAGTACCAACCACAACAACACAACCACACACACCACACACACACACACCACACACACGCACGGCACACACACACACACGTCAAGGGCATCATTAGCCCTGTGCTCAGTATGAACATGCAGTGCCAAGCTTTTAAACTCCATTCTGCACACACAGGATGCATTAACACACACGTAAATCAAGACAGTAAATCGAAAAGGACTAAAAGTGTAGGAAGCACACACACCCCGCGCAACGCTCAAGTAATCTATTAGCTGTTAACAACTTTTCTGCATGCGCAGTTAATGTGGCTTTTAATGTCAACGCTTGTAACTGCCTTGATGGTTCCCAAATTCGTCGGCACCCTATAAACGGGGTCATGCCTCAAACACCCGGCCGCCAAACCCTCTTACAGACTGGCTGTCCCGCGCCTCCCTTAGCACCCATTGTAATCCCCAACCGCCCACCGCCCACAAATAGAGATGCCCGATTAAGTTAAATAATTCATGTTTCCCAGGCCTGGTCTATTTTTTTTATCCATTAAGCCCTCACAGGTTAGGAAGCAACAATAAAAGTGACTGTTCTCCTCCCCCTCCGCAACCTGTCTTCTCCAGTGCATCCCTGAGAGTCCAGGGACTGACACAGCGGGGAGATGTGTGCATAACGGCCGAAGGGAGACATGAAAAGAGTAGACAAAGCTGAGACCAAATGTAGAAACAAAAAAAAGAAGGCAAGAGGGAACACCCCTAAAAAGAAAAATATGTGCAGAGCTACAACACCTATATAACAAAAAGACAGAAAAAAGAAAACTACCAAAAAAATTGCCAGCTTTCTGCACAGGCAAACTGCAGATCCTATCCCTCCAGGTTCGGAAATGAAAAGCCCAGGTGGTAAAAAAGGTACAAAGCCAAAATTTACAGAGGCCAACTAAATTCCAGGAACTTTATACTGTATAAATTTACAGTGTTGTCCATCACATAAATGGGGAATAAGGTTTCAATGTCCTCTGGGCCCTGAGAAGTACGCATCTCTGGTGAAACAGCCCGTTATAAGAGCAGCAGCAGCTCTGCACAAACGCAAACCTACAGGTATTTCTCCAGGGGAGGCTGCAGAAGACTGAGGACTGAAACCTGAGCGATGGGGATTGAATGGAGGGCTTGAATTTTTGGACAGCTGGGGCCCCCGTTGGGATTTAGCAGCAATGGTGGCTTGGTATCTGTAAAGTGTGAAGTGGCTGTGTGTGTGTGTGTGTTGTGTGTGTGTGGTGGTTGTGGGTGTGGTTAGTATGTGTTTGGTGTAGGTACACCATGCAACATAACTCCCCTGTCCACAGAGTTGCCATATGGTGGAGTATATTACGTTTTTCCATGATAGTGAATGAACCATCGGAATGACTGCACCAAGAAAAATGTTCCGTTACTGTGTTGTGCAATGTAATTTGATTGTAATTCGTGTGTGTGTGTTGTGTGTGTGTGTGCTGGAGTAAAAGCTGTAAGTGCCTTACACTTGCCATCCAATCCCGCCAGTAGTGACCCATTTAACTATTCCTGTCACAACAGCCTTTGCCAGTAAAGAGCCACAGCAGAGGAGCAAATCCAGGCCCGACCACCCGTACCAAATGCCTGTAAACACTCCACGCACACCACCAAACCCACACAAACACCACCATCTTTTCTCTTCCAACGACACTGTCATCAGGTTGCGGGTGTAAACCCAAATTGTGCATGTTGTGTGTTTTGCGAGGTTATTCTGTGCTACATCTTTTTAAATCTCCCTCTGTGTTTCTATATGTTTGTGTAGGCAGATGTACAGTATCTATGAGTCTTGCATTGCCATGTGAATGCCCCTGCATATCTGCCCGTGTGTTGGTGTGTGTGTGTGTGACTGCATGACACATCCCATCACTCACCCTGGCTTTGCGCTCCCCCGTCCCCCTCCTCTGTGTCGGTCAGGTTGTTAAGCATCCCGGCTCCTCTACGGCACTCTTCTTCTGCTGCGGAGCGATGTCACCGATCGAGCTCTCGGCGGCTCTCCCTGCGCTCCACCCACTGTTATACAGCCTCAGAAATTGCAGGAAGGCAGCGTAGAAAATATGCCAGCCGGATCCTCCTCGCTCCTCGCTGCCCGTAGGATGCACGAAGAGAGGCAGCAGAAGAGAGAGAAGGATTTTTTTTCCTCCCCTTTGTAGATCCTCCTCTTGACGTCTCTTCTCCGCTGGCTTGTAAGCGTGACTCTCTCACTCTCTCTCTCCCCGTTGCTACCTCTCTCCTCTCTCTCTCTCTCTCTGTCTCTCGCTCTTCCTCTCTGTTGCTCTCTCTCTCTCCAGGAGGAGGAGGAGGACAAGGAGGAGGAGGAGGGAAGAGGGAAGCTGCAGGAGTTTGGTAGATGATGGAACGCCTCAAAGCTGCACACTTGCTCTCTCCCTCCTTCCCTCGTTCCTTCTATCTGTCTCTTTTTTGCCTTTCTCACTCCTGATCTCGATCTCTCCCACTCACAGACACAGAAAAAAACCACTCACTCTCCCCTGCTCAGATGATGTTGCTCAGTCACTGTTGCTGCCAAAGTGATTGCATATTCAAGCAGTAGTGTGATTTCTTCTATATCTATTTCTCCCCTCCCTCCCTGCCTCCCCCTTCTCATCGTGGCTGTCAGACAGAGAGGTGATTGGGAAGTGGAATTGATGCTGTTAGAAGAGTGAGCAGGCGGTAGCCTCACTGCTCTGATGTCCACAGAAGTGCATTATGCATCAGCTTTTCCTCCTGTCGGCTTTGTAATAAGCCGCCGCGCTCACTCCCTACTTTAATGTCAGATGCAAATAGAGTCTCTGTTTTCTTCAAGGGATGAACAAGCCCCATCAACATCATCTGTATGCAGTTATGATAAACATGGAGAGCCATGTATTCAGATGCGCACACACATGGAAAGACACACTGGATCAGCAATAGGGTACATCAGCAACTGTTTGGTTTTGTTTATGCACAAATGTATATACACGCTTGCCTTTGCTCTCTGTGTATATGCAGCTAACAAAACAGAACATTTTCTCTTTTAATCCACCCTTTAGAGATGTTTGGTTCCAAGAGAGAGGACCCTGTATGCTGTATGCCGTCGGCACAGCATTGAAGCCTCACTGTCAATTAGACGGGTCTCATTTTGATCCATGCAGATTCATTTTGATCTTGTACACGGTGTTCCGTGTGCAAAAAACGTGTGTAGTATGAAGACACTCTCTGCATGTGTGTCTGCGTGTGTTTCTATGCATGTCCCAGTGGTTGTGATCCCACACCAGAGATATGAAAGCAATTAATCTTGGTTTTAGTCATGGTAGCACTGATGCACAGAATAGATTTCAACAAAAAGAGAAGGAGGAAAAATATAACTGCACGCTCGGCTCCAGTGAATAAATTTATTACCAATGTCTCAAACAAAACTGGTTTTGTCAAGCTACAATTACCTTGACAAAGAACCAATACCTTGAAGCCTGGCAATAAATTTCTTCACTGAGCTGTGTGTACAGATACATTTCTCTCTCTTTGTTCATTAGTTCTCACACCGTAGCCAGCATTTTGTTTGTTTGTAACAACAAAAGACACGCAAAATTAAATTATAATATCCATGAGGAGAGAACCTTTGCATTTAGAGAGTTGAAACATCCAGTTGGTTCAATTGTGTCCTGAATGCTCATCATTGCTTAATGTGCGTTATACTTTGCGTAGATTCAAGCAAGCAAACTGAATAGTTAAATGTGCATGAGTATAGCATTAAATCATGCTGATCCTTTCTATTGGTTACCTGGCTACACAAATGTGCCTCCCACACTGAACTCTGATGGTACTGTTACCACGATCCCGGTCAACCACTCCATTTAATCCATTTCTGCGTTCAAACACCAGCTGATGTATGTAGATGTAGTACTGATCTATACTATACATCTACTGTAAATGAGTCCTGCTCTGCAACAGTCACTGTTGGCTAGTTCATAATGATTAGTTGTTACTGCTGTCATTTGGATGGCTGGGAGAGTAGTAAATGGTTAACTCAATTTTTGGATATGAAGATTATCTTTAGCTGCATTAGGTCAACAACCAATTTTAACATCAACTGAGTTACTTCACTTTATTCATATAAAAGTCCATCTTGAGATAAGTGCTGCAGACTATCGTAGGCTATCAATGCTGTTGTATGTGGCACTGGTCCATGCGATATAAAAAAATAAACATTAAATAAATAAGAGACACGGATGAAATAGATTTGCACCATAATGTTCTCCTAAAATTTTATTTTGCACCCATTTTGGACCTTTTCCACTGGTCCCACTAATACTTTAACATGCTTGGATAATGTGACAGACGGGGCCAATATTTAGGTCTGGAAATATTTTTATATATATATTTATACACATTACTGGGTTTGCTATTGACATCAGGCATCTTTAAAACAATGCAGGTGAATCAAGATTTTTGCTAAAAAAAAGTAAAGAAAAAGGTGGACTGTTCTTTTAAGCCAAGTTCACATCCTCCATACTCCAGATAACTGTATAATTCACAGTGACTTAAACTTGATCTGCAAATGATGGACAAGCTATATGATCTGACAAAAATTGAGCAAAATCCGCCAGCCTGTTATTACGGACAGCTCAAGTAGAGCTGATACGCTCACAAGTGACTTGACTCTTTGCAACACATATCCAACAAACTCCTTTAAACCAGGTGATCTATTCAAGCTCTTGGTCGGCTGCTCCTACACCACAACACCACATCATCACTGCATCTGCTTACATAAACCATTTAAAATCAGCCCACAACCTCTCCAGCATCCACCTGAAGTCTCAAGTTTTCCTCCAAGAGAGGCAGAGTGAGGTTATCATCTTTCTCTCAGCAGGTTTAAATGTCACAGCCTGGACACCGAACATTAACTGTGAAAACTCACACACTGATACTACCGTTCCATGCGAGTTGGCTGAATGAAATGAAAACTTATTTTGTACACAACCAAACCAGCTGACGTTAGCTAACACACTGCCAAATCTCAGCAATATTTTGATTAAGAGGGAAAGAAGGTCGGCAAAGAGCCAACTGTAAATTTGAGTAATTCGTTGTTTTACATTGTTGGACAATGTAATGTCTTGTTTCACAACACTGACCTTGAAATATGGCTCCTTTATAACATAGTTCATGAATTCGCTTTTTCTAAAATCAGTGGTTCTCAAACTGTGGGTCGGGACTCCTGGTGGGACACAGAGTGGATAACCAGATGAAGAATAAGGAGTGAAACTAAGCTGAATAAATGTAATTTATGTAGGGGAGAAAAAAAAAAGAATCTTGCTGATGCTATTGTGCTCACCTTTATTACACTAAAATTCAACTTGGATCCTTTTTTTTTATTTTTATTAGTGGGTAACCCTTTCATTGGTAATAATTGCTAAACATTATGGGGTGATGGGGCATCACCTTTTTTCAGATTTTGACGTGGGTCAATTCAAAAGAAGGTTGAGAACCACTGCTCTAAATCAACAGATTAAAATGCACTGAAACAGAAACCCAATAAAAATACAGCGTTGTTCTGATACCGAAATGCTGTATTGAGTATTGGCAGGTATGTGAAATGTGTTTACTTCAGCATGTCTGCTACCCACTTGGAGGAAGTGGTAGATTGCATTCATCTGCCAGTCAATACCACATTTACACCAGACTGCTGGATGTTTACAAAGGACATGCCATTCACTCGCCAGGTAAGATTTTCAGAAACAATAACTGCTAGGCAATGCAAAAATCTGACATCAAAACTGTTGTTTTTTAACCATTTATATCCAAAGATATGTTGAGAATAACAAGAATATATTAGTCCTTTAAGGCAATGAGAAGTAAGAATGTATGAGGAAGACGGCAGACAAGCACTGAATGCACTGGAGCAGAGGGACCTGCTGGCACAGCAGATGTTTTCCACTAGAGAGCAAGAACACACAGAAGGCTCAGTTACACTTTTCAAAATCAAAAGAGAATTTAGACGAGATGAAGTTATAACAGAGTAAACTTTGTTGATGTTAGAATTCATTTCTGAAAAACGCAGAATAAAAGTTCTTTAAAAAGTTATTTCAAGCTACAGTAGTTTGAGGTAAAACGTCAACACAATGCAAATGATTTTTACATCCGGGGTGCTACAAACAGCACAGATTCAATCAAGTAGAAGTGAACGTGGTTAGCTTAAAGAGTGCTGCAAACAAAATCAAATTTAACTGTATTACCCAAAGAAGGAAATTCATTGGTCAGAACTGCTGTCGTGCTGTACAGTGCTGGAAGAGCGGTTGATTTCACTCACAACTCATATACCAAGGGTTTCTTGAGACAAATCCAAACTCAGTTTTTTTTCTTATTTGGTTCAATTCAAGCCATCAGGAAGTCTAATTAATTTCTGTGGGCACTATTCTGTGCGTGTACTGCTGACTCACTCAGGCATCTGAAGGCTTCCTATTTCTTAAGCAGCATGGCCATGCTGACAACTTAACAGTGTTTTGTCTACAAACAGGGCTGTTATTGGATTAGCCCAAACCCTCACAAGAATCAGACACTGCCAAAAGTAACTCTGGCTAGAGTATGGGAGGTAGAGGCAGTGAAAACCACAGCCATAGTAGATAGCATGTACTGTAATACTGCAATGATACTAAAATAGGGACACTTCTTCTCAGTGCCTGTATGTGTGTGAGAGTATAAATATAGATGTATTTGAGCCTGGGCATTGTAGTCAACAGGCAGAGTTGTAAAATAAATTGTGTAACTACTGCAGGTGGAATAAAAAGACACAGAGACTGAAAGAGAGAAACCTCAACTGGGGTATTGATAAATAAGAGGCTTTTATGACTAAATGCAGACGAGTGAGTCACAAATTTTCCTGAAGTTGTACTTGTTATCTGTGCCTGATTACATGCGTGTGAGGCGGCACTTGTGTGTGAACATACTTGTGTGCATGTGCGATTTTGTTTGTATGTCACGTTTTCCTCAGAGGAGTACTCCTAATAATGAATCACCTTCGAGAGAACAATTTTCAAAAGGGTTTTGGGAAATTTACATTTTCAAGTTCGATTGCAGGCTCATTTAAATGTCATGAACTTAGAGCCAGCCTCTAAACAGCAGCCGGAATGGAACAATCTTTGTTGAGTAATGTTTTACTAAATAGACCCATGCTAAGGTCA